TGGCCATTAAGTCATCTACCAAATTTTTGAAAAACAATTTTTAATTTTGATGAAGTCTAATCTATCAATTTTTCTTATGCTTTTTGTATTAGTGCTGGTTAGTGCTTTTTGTATTACGTAGAAAAGTAGGTTACAATGATATAGTCTTGTTTTTTTAAGTTTTATAGGTATAACTTTTACTTTTAGGTTTATGAAGCCCCTTGAATTAATTTCTGTGTATTGTGTGCAGTAAAGGTCAAAGTTCAACTTTTTTCCATGTGAATATCCAATTGATCCGACATAATTTGTTGGGAAGACTATTCTTTCCTCACTGAATTAACTTGACAAATTTGTCAGAAATCAATCGCCTGTACATGTAAGAAGCTATTTCTAGACTCTCTACTTAGTTCCATTGATCTTGTTATCTCTCCTCATGCCAATACCATCCAGTCTTGGTAGTGTGGCTTTATACTAAGTCTCAAAACCAGGTGATGTAAGTTCTCCAACTTCATTCTTTTTCAGTTTTTTGTTGTTGTTGTTGTTGTTGTTGTTGTCTAGATCTTTTACATTTCCATATAAATTTTAAATTCACATTGCCTACTTCTATATAAAAACACTGTTGAGATTTTGATTGGAATTGTGCTAAATCTATATCTCAATTTGGAGAAACTTGATACCATCACAATATTGAATCTTCCAATTCATGAATGTGATGTACTACTGCATTCCTTTGCGTCTCTTTTTGTTTCTCTCTGTAAATTTTTGTAGTTTTGAATATGGCGATCTTGCACACTTTTCATTTAATTCATTACTGGATAATTTCTCACCTACTGAAAATAACTGTTTTATGTTTCATTTTCCAAGTGTTTGTTGCTACTATGTAACAAGGCAATTGACTTTGTATCCTGAAGCCTGCTAAGCTTACTTATTAATTATGTTAGTTTTTACGTAGCTTCCTTAGGATTTTCTACACAAAGACAGTTTATTTTCTTCACAGACAAAGACAATTTTACTTTCCAATCTGCATGCTATTTATTTTTATATCATGTCTTAATATGTTGGCTAGGACCTCCAGAACAATGTTAAATAGAAGTGGTGAGATCATACATCCTGGCCATGTTTCCAATCTGAGGGGGAAAACATTCAAAACATCATAATTAATTATGATGATAGCTATAGGTTTTTCATAGATGCCCTTTATCAGACTGAGGAAATTTTCTTCCTTCTCTAGTTTGCTGAGATTATTAGCATGAATGGGTGCTTTTCTGCATCAATTGATATTATTATATAATTTTTCTCCTGTATTCTATTAATATGGTAAATTGCATCAATAGATTTTTTAAAAGTTGAACCAAAGTTACATTTCCGGTATAATTCTTACTTCATCATAATGTCATATCATTTTTATATATTGATAGAGTTGATTTGCTAACAATTTGTTAAGGATATTTCTACCTTGGAGCATATTAGTCTGTAATATTCCTTTCTTGTGTCATATTTGGATTTGATATTAGGGTAATGCTGAACTCAGTAAATGAGTTGGAAAGTATTCCCTCCTTCTCTGGTTTCAGAAAGAGCTTGGTAACATTGGTATATTTTTCTCAAATATTTGATAGAATTTACCAATGATATCATTGCTCTGTAGTTTTCTTTGTGGAAAATTCTATGTTTAAGGAATTTTCCCATTTCATCTAAGTTGTCAAATTTTTTGACATAAAGTTGTATTAAGAATCACTTAATTATTCTTTTGATGTCTATAAAATCAGTAGCACTATCCCCTTTTTATTCCTGTGGTTTTTGTTTTTGTTTTTTCTCTTTTTGTTTCTAAATCAGTCTAGCTAAAAATTTGTCAATTTTATTAATCTCTTTGCAAAGCCAATTTTTGGCTTTATTTTCTCTATTTTTAAAAAAATTAATAGAATTTATTACAGCAATTTTAAGTTTACAGAAAAATTGAACAGAAAGTACAGTTTCCTATACACCGCTTTCCCTGGACGAGTTCCCCCATTGTTAACATCTTGCATTCATGTGGTACATTTATTACAGTTGATGAAACAATGGGGATACATTGTTGTTAACTAAGTCTGTAGTCTACCTTAGGCTTCACTCTTTGTGTTGTGCAGTTCTATGAGTTTTAACAAGCACATAAATTCAATTTTTTTTATTGTGTTCTTTTCTCATTACTGAGTTTGAGATTTTTTTTTTTAATGCTGGATACAAGACCTGGATCAGATATATGTTTTGTAAATGTTTTCTCCCTGTCTGTGACTTGTGTTTTCACTCTCTTAAAAGTATCTTTCACAGAGCAGAAGTTTTTAATTTTAACAAAGTCAAATTTATCAATTTTTCTTTCATAGATCATGCTCGTGATATATCCAGAAAGTCATCACCAAACCCAAAGTCACTTTCATTTCTCATGTTATTTTCTAGAAGTTTTTTAGTTTTGATTATTACATTTAGGTCTATAATCCATTTAGAGTTAATTTTTATGAAAGGTATAAAGTCTGTGTTTAGATTCATCTTTTTTGCATGTGGATGATCCATTGTTTCAGCACGATTTGTTGAAAAGACTATCATTTTGCCTTTGCTCCTTTGTCAAAGAGCAGTTGTCTATATTTGTGTGGGTCTGTTTCTCGTCTCTCTGTTCTGTTCCATCAATCTATTTATCTATTCTTTTGCCAATACCACATTGTCTTGATTAGTGTAGCTTTATAGTAAGTCTTGAAGTTGGGTAGTGTCAGTCTTTGGGCTTTATTCTTCAATATTGTATTGGCTATTCTGGGTCTTTTGCCTTCCCATATAAACTTAAAATCAATTTATCAATATCCACAAACAAACTTAGTGAGATTTTTATTAGGATTGAGTTGAATTTATAGATCACGGTGGGAAGAATTGACATCTTAACAATATTAAGTCTTCATATCCATGAATATAGAATATCTCTCCAGTTTATTTGGATCTTGTTTATTTCATCAGAATTCTTTAGTTTTCTTCATATTGTACATATTTTGTTAGATTTATACCTAAGTATTTAAATTTTTTCTCATCATAATGGTATCTGCTCTTCCCTTATTTTACTTCTCCTACTATTTTTGGGTTTAATTTGTCTTTTTTCCTCTAGCTTCTCAAGGTGGAAGCTTAGATAATTAATTTTCTTATTCTTTATTTCTAACATAAGCATTCAAAGCTATATATTTCCCTCTAAGAATTGTTTAAGTTGCATTCTTCAAATTTTGATGTGTTTTCATTTTTATTCAGTTCAAAATACTTTACAGTATCTCTTTTAATTTCTTCTTTTAAATATAAGTTCTTAAAAAGTCATGTTTCATTTCCAAGTATTTCTGAGTTTTCTAGATAGGTTATTGTTATGGATTTCTAACTTAATTCTATGTTCCAAAAACATGCTGTGTTTGATTTTAAATCTTCAAAATATATTAGACATTTTATGACCCAGCATATGTTCTATTATTTAGAGTTCCGTGTGCTCTTGAAAAGAATGTGTATTATGTGGTCATTGACTAGAGTGATTTATAAGTGTCAATTAGGTAAAGATGATTGATAATATTGTTCAATTCTCCTATACTTTTACTGGTATTTTTCTATTTATTCTAGCTAATACTGAAAGAGGGGTATCAATATAGCTAACTGTGATTATGGGTTTGTCTATTTTTCCCTTTAGTTTTGTCAATTTTTGTTTTATATATTTTGGAATGTTTTTATTAGGTGTATATGTACTAAGATTTTTATGTCTTTTAAATATGGTAAGAATTAAATAAACAAGATTATAATTCGACAAAATGTAAAGGTGAACATGTTTTGTTATTTTTTAAACATTAAAAAAGTGAACATGATAATATATAGACAAAATGATTTTAAAAGTGGCAGAGTGGTTAATAGCTCAGCTGCTAGCCAAAAGGCCAGCAGTTCGAATCCACCAGTGTTCCTTGGAAACCATATGGGGCAGTTCTACTCTGTCCTACAGGGTCGCTGTAAGTCGGAATTGACTCAATGGCAACTAAGAGCAACAATTTCACTTCAGCCTGAAAAACTTCCTTTAGTATATCTTTTAGTGTGGATCTGCATCTTTCAGCACTCTAAAGATATGGCTTCACTGTCTTTCCTGAGAAGTCAGCTGTCATTGCTCCCCTATATGTAATGTGCCTTTTTTCTCTGGCTGATTACAAGATTTTCTCTTTATCTTTGGTTTTCAGTTAATTGACTGTGATGTGTGTACTGTGATTTGCTTTGTATTTATCTTGCTTGTGGTTCACTGAACCTCCTGGATTTGTGGCAACATTTTAATTCAAATTTGGAAAGTTTTTAGCTAATATTGCTTCAGGTGCTTTTTCTGCCCTCTTCCCTCTGTCTTCTTCTGGGACTCCAAATATACATGTTTGGTTTCTTGATGTTGTTTCGTGTTCACTGAGCCTTCATTCTTTTTTTTTCTTTCCCCCCTCTCTAGGCTTTAGTTCGGATGATTTTAATTAATCTTTCCTCCAGTTTATTATCTCTTTCTTCTGGTTTGGCCAATCTGCTATTAATCTCATCCAATAAATTTTGTATTTCAGATACTTTCTTTCTCAATTCCAGGATTTCCATTTGGTCCTTTGTTACTGTTTCTGGATCTCTCCACAAATTTCCCTATCTCTTCATTCATTTAATCTCTCTGTTTCTGTGGATTCTTTAACATATGCCTTTAATATAAAAGACAACAGTTTTTACTTTTTAGACTGTTTAAAATACTATTTATTATTTAAAGAAAACATTATTAACAATATGCTATGAGGTTTATAAAGTTTGGAGGAGAAAAATATATTACAGCACTATCAAAAAGAGTATTAACATATTTAACATATTTAATAGCTATTTTAAAGATCTTGTTTGATAATTTCAACATCTGGATTGTGGGTTTCTTACTGTTCACTGATTTTCTCTTAATAAGTATCACATTCCCCTGTTCCTTTGCCTGTCTCACAACTTTTTATTGCATGTTGGATATTGAGTCTTAAAAAGAGTAGAATGCTTGCTTCCCCAACACATACACTAAAATTGGAACGATACAGAAAAGATTGGCATGTCCTCTGCACAAGGATGACATGCAAATCTGTGATGCATTCTTCATTTTTGAAATAATTTAAAAAATAAAACAAAACAGAAAAGACTGGTAGAGGAGCCCTGGTGGCATAGTGGTTAAGAACTACGGCTGCTGAACAAAAGGTTGGCAGTTCAAATCCGCCAGCCTCTCCTTGAAAACGCTATGGGGCAGTTCTACTCTGTCGTGTAGGGTCTCTATGAGTCGAATTGACTTGATGGCAATGGGCTTAGTTTGGTTTTAGTTTAGAGGCTGAAGAAAGTGAGTATGTTCTTTCATCTCTTGAGCAACTTGAATGAGGGACTGATGAGTTTGACCCAATCAGGAGCTGAACTCTTTTTGGGGCAGAGTTACAGATTTAATCCCTCTAGCAGTGTATTAGAATATAAGCATGAGGGATCTAAAGAGTTTGTTTTTTGTTTTTCAGCCCATCCCTAACTTCATGTATTGTATTATCAAGGAGCTAAAATCTTTGAACTCATCAGAAAATGAATTGGGTGGGCGTTTGGTAGTAGCTTTGATTAGATTTCAGTTCACTTCTGCCTTCAGACCTCTTTCTTCTGGAAATCCCAGGAGCCATACGCTGTAAGACTACTAGACCTCAAAACTGAGAGATGGTGTGTCTACAAGATCATGAGACTTTGAAACTTTATGACCTCAAGTTTGCAAAACTTCAAGACAGCAAGAACATGATATCATGAGACTTTCAGACTGTGAGAGTGTGAGGCCATGAGGTTTTGGGATCAAAATTTAAAAGCTGTGAGACCATTGAATCTTAAGAGCCCTTTCTGCGTTTTAGCTTCTTTTCCAGGCTCTCTTTGCTCAATAAAATGATTGAATTATTTGGCAGTAAGGATTATTTCTGAATTGGGGCTTATCCAGATGCAAATCTGATGATATCAGACACAAAATCTGTCAAAAATTTGGCAGATTTTTCTCTGACCAAGCAAAGACTGTCCTCTGCTAACCTCACTTCTCTGCCCACCATCCCCCAACCTCAGCTTCTAGTCCCAGGTATGAAACATGTTCCATCCCTTGCTCACCTAGGAAGAGCTCACCCCTCTAGACTTTAGTCCTTTTTGATTTCTTCATATCCAAAGCTTTTTAATGGCATTAAATAGAAGCACGATTTTTGTTTTATCTAGTAATTTCTTGTTGTTTTGACAGGAGTAAAATCTTTCACATGCTTCTACATGGTAACCAAAAGCAGAACTCTGGACATTCTTTTCAGTATTTTTATTTGTGGCTGCACATTTTGTACTTTTGTAGATTTTTTTAAATATAAAATTTCAAGCTAGATAATATTATACTTGGGATATTATACACATATACGCATACACATACCTACAAACACACACACACGTCGTTGTGTTGTTGTTAGGCGCTGTCGAGTCGGTTCCGACTCATCCTGACCCTATCTATATACAACAAAACGAAATGCTGCCCAGTCCTGCACCATCCTCCCAATTGTTGCTATGTTTGAGCTCATTGTTGCAACCACTGTGTCAATCCATCTTGTTGACTCACACACACACACGAACATATGTGTAAACATATACATATATACATATATATGTATAGAGAGAGACCTTCCTGCAGCACCTTAAACAATGTTTGTTTTTCTTCTTTCAAGGAATTCTAGTTGCTGAGAAGTAGCAATAAAGAACTGGCTCTTGAGGCAGTTCCCAAAAAGAAGTAATTCCTTAAAAAGTATTGAGTGAAGCATCACCATTGAAGTAAGTACTTGATTTCTCAAGAAAAGTGCACTGAAGAACAAAGCCAATAACAATGCATAAGTGCTGTTACATTTGAAAAAAAGGAAAGTCTTAGGGCTTTATAGTAACTCCTTGTAATGGCCCAGTCTAATTTTACAAAAAGAAGATATCTCTGTATGTGGCCATGAGAACCGACAGGCATGAGAAGGCCCAGGAGGTAATGAATTGAGAGAGTCAAACATTTCCTTAATCTAGTTTAGAGGTGAGTAGCGTTCTCTCTCAGACACAAATCCAAGCAGTATTCTTCTTTTTCTTTTTTTGAGGGGGAGTTGTCCTACTGCAATGGCTGTCAAAGGGCAGGATGAAGTCAGTTAATGGGACAAATCTAGGTAGGAAACCAGAACTGAGTAGGTAAAGGGAGTGCAGGCTTAAGATGTCAAGCTCAAACAAGATCAGCTAAACTAACTAACCCGTTGCTGTCAAGTCAACTTTCGACTCATGGTGCTCGAGTGTGTGTCAGAATAGAACTGTACTCCATAGGGCTTTCAGTGTTTGATTTTTCAGAAGCAGGTGGGCAGGCCTTCTCCTGAGGCACCTCTAGGTGGACTCGAACCTTCACATTAACCATGTGAGCACATTAACCATTTGCACCACCCACGGACTCCAAAAGAGCAGCTAAGAGAACCAGATTCTGATTCAATCCAAAATCTGAACCACTAAAAAAAGACAAGAAAACAACAGAAGACACACAACCCAATCAAACAATGGGCAAAGGACTTTAACAGACATTTCATCAAAGAGGGTATTAAAATGGTTAACAAGCACATGAAAAGATGCTTAACGTCATTAGCCTTTAGGGAGATGCAAATCAAACCACGGTAAGATACCACCTTACCCCCATTAGAACGGCAATGATCAAAAAAATGGAAAACAACAGGTGTTGGTGAGGTTGTGGAGAAACTGAAAACCTCATCCATTGCTGGTGGGAATGTAAAATAGTACAGCCACTGTGGAAAACAGTTCGGCGATTCCTCAAAAAGTTGAAAACAGAACGATCATATTACCCAGCAATCCCAATCCTAGGGATAGACCCAGAAAAAGTGAAAGCAGGAATGCAAATAGAACCTGTAATAGTTTATTTGCACTATTCACAGTAGTCAAACAGTGGAAGTAAACTAAATGTCCATCAACAGACAAGTGGCTAAACAAAATGCAATAAATACATACAATGGAATATCACTCAGCCATAATGAGAAATGAAGTCTTGATGCATGCCACAACATGGATGACCCTTGAAAACATCATGCTGAGCAAAATCAGTCAGTCACAAGGGGACAAATACTGTATAATCTCACTTATATAAAATAAGCATGTGTATAGAAATCAAAGATTATTAGCGGTTACCAGAGGTGGGAGGGAGGAGGGAAGGGAAGTTTTTGCTCTAGTCCTACAGATCGGTCCTGCAGATTAAACATTCTAGCCCCAACATCTCACCCTGTGAGCTAGACTATTAGCAATTTATTTGCAGTCTTGATGTATAGTGTATGCGGATGGAGCTGGAGTAGGGGTTGATAAAACCGAAAGCAAACCGGTTGCCAGCGAGTTGATTCCAACTCCTAGTGACCTTATAGGACCGACTATAGCTGCCCCATAGGGTTTCCAAGGAGCAGCTGGTGGATTCAAACGGCCATCCTCTCAGTTTGCAGCCACCTCTTAACCACTTCACCACCAGGGCTCCAGGGGTTGATAGAGCGAGAATAATATTTATTGAGCAACAGCCCAACACTATGCACTGAGAGAGAAATACCTATTTGAAAATTACCATAAGCCTTGGCTATCTTGGTTTATCTTTCCTTTGCATTCCTGTAGCCTGGCGAAAAAAAGTAGGAAAAAAAGGAAGAAACTACAGGTGCTTTATAAATATCGGAACAGAACAAAGGCAGCTGGAGGGAAGGACCTTAATTTTTTTTTAAGGCATCAGTTATTTATAAAATTTTTGAAATCCAGAATTGAGCTTCTTCCAGGTTCATCAGTCAGTTCATCAGGAACAAAGATATTTAGAACTTCCAAATTTTCATTGAGGGTCCTTCCTGTAGACCTGGGTGGGCATTCTTTGTGCTCTGAGCTTTCCCACCGTGTGTTTTATTTCTTGTCTAGTGGAATTTGAATTGGTAACATAAAACTCAGGGAAAGGAACTTGTTTTCAATATCCCAACCACCAAATCTAATCTGGGTTTGTGAGCCTCTGAGGCTTCATCACAGGCAAGGATAACGTCAGCTTAGGCCTTACCTCAAACCACGAGATGTTTAAACTCTGATTTACCATCTAGGCTGGACCAGCATAAGCTGTCAAGAAGTCTCAAGTTACATAACTACTTTTTTTTTTTTAATGTAAAGTAAAAGGACTGACCTTGCTCAGTTCCTTCCTGTTGGTTAATGGATTCCATTATGGAGCTGGTGGAGGTAATTGGAGGCCTAAAGAAGTCTAGAAAATCCTGTTTTTCTCTCAGATTTGCCATCAGTTGGCCAAATGATCCCAGCCAGCCACCTCCCACCCTCTGGTAGTCACCATTAGCCCCAATAAGGAGCACAGTAGGAGGACTCTTCCCTGAACCCCACATTTTAGAGGCCCAAACTGGCCCTCCTCCTGCTGTGCTCCTCCTCAACAGAGTGAGGAGTCCACAGGGCCAGGGGAACATGTCCACCTGGAGTTCATGCCCTGTCCGTCTAGACCCCTCTCCATGGGAGCCTAGAATTCTTCACCCAAATGTCCCCTAGACCACTTCAAGGGCTTACGCAGGCCTTCAGCCCAAGTCTGTCCTCCCAAGTGTTGACTGGGCCACCAGTGTGCTTACCTCTTGCCCCAAGGGGTGATCAAAGAATGGCTGTTTGCAGAGCATGCGACTGGAGCTTGGCCATGCGGCCATAGTATCTACATGTATGCAGGCTGGACCCCACAGAGACCAGATAAGTCTGGTTGAAAGTAAGAAGACAAGAGAGGCAAACTGAGGGCTGATGGCTGGCTCTTGCTGGGCTGCCAAGGAATCCAAGAATTCTAAGTGCACCCTGGCCTTCAAGGTCCTGATGAAAGTGTACTTGTTAAGATAGGAAGCTACAGAATATTTTATTTAACATTTTAAGCTTGAGTCATAAATTTTAAATATCTGGACTTATGATACGTGGGCCACCATTTATGTTCTTGCTTTGGGCCCCACAAATGTTAAAGGAGGGCCTGTCTCTAGGAGATTTCATTTTCCTTGATTATAAACATGCTGAATGTAACTGACAATGGGTTTTTAAAGGTCTTTAGAAACCTCAA